TTTACATCGGATCAACTCCGCGACGGTTTTTCTTGCTCTTTTTTTTATTTTCTTTGAAAATTCGAAAAACTCTCAGCATTGATACCTGACGCTCTTTCAAAGACAAGCGTAAAACATGCGCGCGCGGTCGCGTTGCGGTGCTGTGATTGGCATCCATTTCAGGCCTAACTGACGTTATCACTGAAACTTCTGACACTGCGTGTCAGAAGGATGACGGTTTTGCACAGAGCTAACCTTTTTCTATCAATGTTTCCGGCTGTGGGAGCTATGAGTAGCGGAAAAGGGGCTGATGGCGCACTAAAACCCATGCCCCGCTGACACGCCCCGACTGACGAGCATTAACGACTAGCTTTGGAAAACTCTCTGGAAACTTCCGTCTATTTGTTTTGACGATGCCAAAAAGTTAGGTGCTGAGGATTGCGAGCGCGTTAGCTAGGAGGGACACCAGTCCACGCCCATTCTCTACTCCTGATTGCTCATTGGTGTCACCAAACTGGTCGAAAACTCTCGCACTGTGAAGACGGAGACGAACAAGATTATGGGTATCATGTAGGTCAATAGGCAGTAATAGTCTCGCTGCCTCCCCTCCACCACTCATTAAACGCCAGGAATGATGTGACAGTTGCCTAAAAGCAACAACCGTAGAAATTCCGAAAATCGACAAAACCGCTACGTCACCGCACGCGGCAAAGTACTATTCCTTTTACCATGGTAGAAAAGCTGTATATCACAACTTTACAGTAACGATTTCATTCTGTCATTCATTTTTTTGTCTCATTTTTTCATTAAAACAAACCCATGGAAATCGATGCAAACAATAACAAGAACTTTAAACGCACCTGGCAGTCGAGAAGTCGCCTGTGAAGCATTTCGGTCTGCTCTCGTAACGCACGTGTTTCCGCTTCGAGCGCACGCAGCGCAGCTTCAGCAGACGAGATTTGTGCTTGGGCTCGCACAGCTTCCGTCTAAAGAAGTCATGAGTAAGGTCAGCTGTGATCAGGGATGCGCCTATAATCTTGCTTGCAAGCAATATTCGTGGGAGTGAGTGGACCCTTATAAGGTAAGTGCCTACATTGTTTTGCCGGAGGATTGTTTGAGGTGCTAGTCAATTGGAAATACACTTCTGTCATCTAATGTCGACCCCTCTGCACTCGTATAAGATCGAAAAGTCCCTCGTTCATGAGAAATGACCAAGACTTAAAGACTCATTCTCCGATGAGAAGTGGGCGGAGACATCAACCTGCATCTCTCCCTCATTGATGCGTCTGCGCCCCTCCCCCTCCTTCTGGAGTGCTGAATAGGAGAGGCGTTCCAATGAGGAAGGCGTGATGGTTGATGTCTCCGCCCCTTCGATTAATGCGGAATGTACCTCAAGACAACTCGTACCGGCAATCGATTATTGATTACCTGCAGGGTGTTCCCTCTGCTTTCCAGATATCGACATTTATTGTCTGCCATTGTCAACTTGGTCTTGTACACGGCGCAATCGTAACAACCATTCGGACTTGCTGATGAATGCGTTTCTGAGGGCGAGACATGCGAAGGTGAAATGACGAAACGGGAATCGACATTCTGAAAGTGTCCCAGAAATCATGCACCAATCAATAACTATAGTTTCAATTACCGTGGAATGATTAGACTCACAAGGTGATGGAAAGCGCTAGGTGTGTCGCCTTTCTTGAAAAGGTTCACAGGAGAATGGGCGGAGCTTGTATGAGCCGGGGACAGTCCGTCAGAGCTCGTTGAGGATCCATTCTCACAGGGGCTAAAAATCGATACGTATCATTTCCACATGGCAGTGATTCAATACAAAATTTATCACCTTTCTGTTCGCTTAATCACTAAAGATTTGCCTTCGTCTGACTCACTACTGGACACGTTTAGCTAAAACTAGTGCATTTAACCAATAACAGAAAAATAAAACGACTCAGTGAGGGTGGGGTCACTTTGCGAGCAACCAA